TAAAAAAGAATGAAATTCTACCATTCACAGCAATGCAGATGAACCTGGAGAAAACTATCCTAAGTGAAACGACCCAGGTACAGAAAGAAAAATACTGCATGTTCTCACTCATAACCAGGAGCTAAATCCACAAATAAACAAATAAAAAATAAAGAGAGACAGAGAGAGAGAAAGAAAAAACAACAATCATAGTAATACGCTGAACTTTTAGAAAGGGAGAAAAGAACCCATGGTTACTAGAGGTGGAAAAGGGGAGGGGAGGGAGAGAGGGAAGGGGGCTAATGAGGAATTAGTTAACAGACACAAAGAATGATTGCTTATTTTAACGATGAATAAACTAACTATACTGATCTAACCACCACATATTCTACACAATTACTGAAAATTAACGTTGTAGCCCATATGTATAATAAATTATCTTTAAAAAAAAAAAGAGTTACTAAAAAAGCTGATTAGAAGCTTTGTAAATGGGCTTCTAATAGGGACATAGAGTAGCTAGAGAATTTTTGTGCAGGGGAAGGTCACCAAAATTTGTAAGCTTTTTTTCTCTGGGATGGTTCAGATTCCTCTGAGAAGGAGCCTCCAAAATTCCTGGTGGGGTATAGGTTTAGGGTGGTAAGGCTGCAGTGTGCAGGAGCTGACCACAGGAAGGGAGCTAGGAATTTCACTGTTCAGATGCAGAATGTCCTCTATTCTCCCAGTTTTCAATTCTATTTCTTGTCCTCTGCCTTTCTCAGTGCTCAGTGTCCCCAAGTCCAAACCATCTGTGGTTGTTTCTCCAGAGACTTATGCAAAGGTGGGGGTAAATGGTCCCAAGTGAAAGTGGGCTTTGAGTGTCTAACTAATCCTCACAAAGATTTTCAAATCAATCCCCATCACCATATTATCCTGCTTTCTTCCTAAGCCATTCCAGAGAGCTGTGGAATGAGTCAGCTGGCTTTCTATCTACATCTCCCTACACAAGCACTTGGCTCTGACCTTTCTCCACTCTATTAAGTCATGCACCACTCTTCCACCAACTTTCCATCTTTGTATCTTGTGGTTTAGGGTTATTTATATCTCCTTAGTTTATCAAAGATGAAGCTTGTGCTTCCTTTTCTTATTTTCCCTGTTGTTTGGGGATGATTTTTGAGAAAAGAAGATTGAGTAAGGGAAGAGAAAAAAAGAGTAGATATATCTTTATTCTTGAAACCAAAAATTTCTAGACTTTTCTTTTTCTTAAGTCTTTTACCACACCATACTCTCTTCGACCAGTACCATTCTGATCCACAAATTCTGCCTCCTAGATTCTCTGGGTTACTAGCCATGTTGTTCTGTTGATTTCAGACATGCAATAGTTTATTAATGGATTAAAAAATTCCACATCCACTTATCATGTTCCAATTGCAGTAACTGTATGCAGCTGAATGGGGTATACTGAACATAAAATAATTGGGAGAACATTAGTCACTGATCTCTTGTGGTACTTCGTGTCCTTATCAAATTAACTGCTTATTCCCTATTTTTCCCCCTGCGCCACCATTCTCACACTGCTCTCTGCCCCAAGAGGCTGACGTTGTAGACAACTCCCCTCATCCATTTACACTCATTGCCATTTCCATGTGCATCGTTCACTCCCTGCCTGGTGCATTTCCAGCAACATTACTCTACAGCCACAGCTCCTGAACTATAATGGCTTCTAGCTTCACAAGAGAACCCTTCCTAGTTTGTTCCCTTGACCTTGCCCACACCTCTGTAAATAGTCTCCTTATTAAAGTATCTTCAGGTAGACCCTACATGGCATTTGTTTCCTACTGGGACACTAACTGATACATTAATAAAAAGAGAATTTTGAACTAGCTCATCTCTAAAGTCCCTTGAGTTCTTATGGTCTATGATTTTTACAGAAATCATGTATACAGTTGGCACCTTATTAAAGATTCTGAGCAAATTAGGGGCCTCCTTTCAGTTGAGATTCTGTCTCACTTCAGCAAAACAATACCTCTCCAAATAATTAGGCTCAGCCCCTAGAAAATGAATATCGTTAGTACAATTTAGACTAGCAGGCAAAGTCAGAATATATATATTGTTCCCTTTATGCTATAGGCATTGGAGTCTGATAGTACTTATAAAAAAAAAATTTGCTATTTTTTGACTTTGAAAACAGAGACAGCCAGAATTAACTCCAAAGGTCCAAGTGTATAAAAAAAATATTTGCTATTTTTTGACTTTGAAAACAGAGACAGCCAGAATTAACTCCAAAGGTCCAAGTGTTTTCCTTATCTTCTTTTCTTCTTTGCCCTTAGATAGTCACAGTATCAAAAGGGTCAGAAAAATGCAAAAAATAAATTTCACCAATCCTCCCATTAAAAAAGAAGTAAATTCCTTGACTTCACACCCCCCTCCAAATACCAGATTGTCTACTTCTCCAGACATCATCAGACTTTTTGCACCCACTGACCTTTTCTACTTTCTCACCTCTCATAGACCCTTTAAGCCATTCTTATCTTAAATTGCTCTTGCCGAAGTTTTGTTCATTTTCTTTGTTGCTATACTCAGTGGGTATGTGTCAGGCCTCATCTTACATTGCCTCATCTAACACTGCCACTCGTTTCATGAAACATTCTCTTCCTTGTCTTTGCTGTTGCCTCACCTTTCTGGATTTCCTCCTATTGACTGAACTACTTCTCAGATGTCTTCCTCTGCCCATCCCTCAAATGTTCATGCTTGTCAGGGCTCTGTCCTAGTCCTCCTTATCTTTCCACCTATAATCCACCACTGGATATTCTCATCTCCTCCCATGGCTTCAAAAACCAATTATATATTAATGATTCTCAGATGGACAATCTCAAGTCCAGATCTCCTTCCTGACCTTCAGAGGTATTTTTTCATAGCTAAATACTAATTAACTACATCAGTATGCCCAGTACGTTCATCACACTCAACATTTAAGTTTCCCCTCAAGCCCATTTTCCATCTATATTCCTTATTCCAGTGAATCACACCAAGCCAGAGACCTGGGTAGAACCCTTAACCCTGCTGTCCGCGATTCCCACTCCCAATCAATGAACAAGTCCTACTGATTCTGTCTGAGAAGTTCTTTGAATCTGTCATCCAACTCTCTCCATTCTCACCATCACTTCCCTAGACCAAATCATCGCCCTACTGCTAATATTGTTACTCTCAAATCCAGATTTTATAATACAGCCAGAGTGAACTTTCAAAATACAGATATGATCATGTTACCCTCTTCCTAAAACCCTGCAATGGTTTTCCATGCTATAAAGATGAAGCCCAAATTCTCCAAAATGATTTACAAGGGCTAGCATCTGATCTCTTACCCTATAATCCAAATTCTGGATGCTCCAGCCATACTGAGCCCCTTTTAGTTCCTCCAATAAGCCGTGAGCTCTTACTCTAGATATCTGCACATGAGGTTCCTTCCACCCATACATGCTAATCTGATGTTATCAGTGTTATCACGCTATCAGTTTTTCCAGACTAACATCAACAACTCCTTGACTCCTTGGTGTCTCAGTTTAAATGTCCTATCCTCTCTAAATCTGGGTTAGATCTCTTCCCATAACACACTACTTATCCACTTACCACACTCTAATATAGTGCCAATTTACTTATCTGTTTTCCCCTTTTAAATCATAAGCATGGTGAGAGTTAAAACTGTACCTACTTTATCTCCAATGCCTCGAACATTACCCAGCACAAAATAGCCCCTAAAATAATAGTTGAATGATGAACAAATGAATAAGCAAACAAGTCATCAGAATAAAAGTTGTACCAGGGGAAGCACATTTCATATATGGACTTCCTTTACCTTGCTTTCTCTCTTCTCAGAAAACAAATAATAGTAATCAAGCTACCCTTCCCCCAAAATAAGCCATTGCTTACAAAGGGCTAATCAGTGTATTCTTACATGTGACAGATAACGAGAAAAATTCTATCTGAGGCTTTGCCTTCTCCTTCATTTCTTCCTCTCCTCCTACATATAAATTATTCCAACTGAAAGTTTAAACACACTTAAAGAGACTAAGCACAGGGCTGACTTTCTCCTGATCTGCCTGATGCCCAGTCTGTCCCAAACCATCGTAAATTTGATAGTGTACATACATGAGGTAAAAAGAATCTATGATAACATTTTATTTGAATAAGAATGCCAAAGCATTAATTAAAGCTGAGCACACCTGCTCTGAACTGCAAAGTCAGAGATTTATGTATACATGGAAAGGTGAGGCTTTCTGACCTCTTATAGAATTTACATTTCCTTTAAACACACATTTCTTCTTTGTAATGCAGTCTTTTTTAAAAAGTTTATTTCAGTGACTAACCTGCTGGCACATACAAATATGCTGTTCAGTTCCTTTATTACCTGTTCTTCACCCTTTTTACACACTGCTTGTCAAACATTCAAATTAAAAGACAAAAAAAAAAAAAAAAAAAAAAAGGGCCGGCCCGGTGGTGCACTGTAGCAGGGTTCGGATCCCACATACAGACCGGTTCCCGCTCACTGGCTGAGCGAGGTGCGGCTGCCACACTGAGGGTTGCGATCCCGTTGCCGGTCCCGGTCCGGTACGGGCGTGACACTGAGGGTTGCGATCTGTTGCCGGACACGAAAAAAGACAAAAAGACAAAAAAAAAAAAAAAAAAACATTCAAATTAAGGTTTTGGGTGCAAAAAAGAAGGTCCAACCATGAGGCATAGAATGTCTTGCTCTACATTTAACTAATAGGTGATCTAAAAAGCTATCCATGCACTAAAAATCCATATCTAATCCATGAGCATTTTAATACAGATATTCACAGATCTGTTCACTTACTGTTTGGAGATTTATCTACCTTATAGTGATTTATCGCAAAAAGAACTTAAGTTACAATGCTCACCACACGTGCAGTCCTTTTAGGTAAGACAAAGTTTTTCAATCACAGAAGGCATAAGGACTTTGAGATTTGGATGCTAATGCCTTTAGAAAGAGAGGGTTCTGTCAGGTTTACTATCATAGTAGTTACCTTGGATAGGTTCATTCCTAGCACTGTGAGCGTCACCAAGCCAGCACAGCAGACCAAAGCACTGGAGCTGGAGAGGCCAGAACTTGGTGGGATAGTTCCATCTACCAGGCAGTTCATTCCAGTCAGTTTACTAAGACCAAAGTGTTCCTAAGAATGTAAGGAAAAATAGCAATAGTAATTTCAGTGTTGGATTCAAAGAGTAGTGGAAACTTCTCTCATGTTCCAGAGATCAAAAGTCTATCAATAGACTTGTGATATTTATAGAATTAAATTTAGTTGAAACTATACATGACATTTTATTTAATGGCTCCTGGCCATAGGGTAACATATTTAAAGATTACATTTTACTTTTTTCAACAAAAAGTTACTGATCCATTTCCTAAAATTGCCTTTAATGTTCCTTTTCTTGAATATTAATTGATATGAACAAATATGAAAAAAATATAAAACAATTATAACTCAACTTGTCAAGTAGCAGGACAAGAAATACCTAAGCTTGGTCGAATGAGTATACTTAGATAAATAAGCTTGGTCTGATGAGTTTACTTAGATTGATGAGCTTGGTCGGATGAGTTTACTTAGATCG